GCTAGGAGCAGCTGCTACACGTCCTGAAGCTCTGCTTTCCTGGGGAGTGGCTGGACATTGCTTACTGAGGGGAAGTAGAGAGTAACATCTTTGTTTACCTTTTGCTTCTGTGTGAGGCCTTGGCCTTTCCTTTAATTAAACTGCTTTTATCTTGACCCACGAGTGTTTCATCTTATTCTCCCCCTTTACTTTGCTAAAGGGGGAATGACAGAGGGGCCTGGTGGGCACCTGGCATCCAGCCAAGGTTAGCCCACCAGAAGTTAAAGACCTATACTAAAGGTGTCCATTGAAGTCCTAACTATTCAGCCCTAATATTGTGTTCTGAAACTGTTCTATAAATACAAAACAATGAAAATAAAAAGCAAAACATCAGATCTCTTAAACTGTATAAAAGAGAGAAATAAGACCTGTACAGTTGTCATATATCATAATTATCCCCTAAACAGAAGAGAATTTTCAAGGCCATAGACTTTTAGATAACATGATCATGTAACATGATCCTTAAAATAGGACTTGATTTTTAAGTAAACATTTGCATTTTTTGTTGCATACTGTTTAGTAACACACACACAAAACTTTAAACCTTAAAATGGCAATTTTACAGCCAAATTTTCTTCATCATTCTTCTCACACAGACTCAATCACTGACAGTAACAGCTACATTAATCATTCTTAATTTTACTTCCCAAGAGCAGCTGCTCTCATGGTGCAATCTACTACAACAGCTCTTGACCTATTTGTTCCCACCATCTTCCCTGACGCTTGCTGCTGTAACAGCTCACCTGGAACAACATATTCTGTTTTCTGCAATATCTTATCACCAAAGTTTACAAGTTGTTACACGACTAATACAGAGTGGTATGCTTAATCAAAAGAGAGACACCTCATTACCTCTCACTTAAGAAAAACAAAGACAGGTTCTATTTTAGATTACTTCTGCTGGACCTGACGTGAATGACGTTTAAAAAACAAAAGCAATTTCAATACTATGCAAGCAAGAGTTAAAACAAAACAGTATTCAAGTTCTAGATAGGGTATGGATTTTTAAAATCATTATTTTCTCACTGCATAAGACAACAAAGAAGTTGAAGGTACATTATTTAAGTGAAACTTTAAAAACAGGATTACCTCCTGAAAAAAGAAACGAGTATGGAAAGGTAATAAAAACTATTACAGAACATGCATCTGAAGAACTGCAACTTCTTATCTCTAAATGCACCATATGGAAAGGGGAAGTGAAGGAAACTCGTGTAATTATGTAACAGTTTAGTTAAAAAAACCCTGCTGTATATGGAAAAGTAATTCTGTTCCCACTAGTCATATTTAGACTAATGTCCAATGCTAAATATAATAGATACTAAGTGGAAGTACTGTACAGGTATGTTCTAGGAGAACCTCATTACTTTACATTAAAAATGAGTCTATTTTAATGCGAGATTAAATATGAGTAGTTTGCTGCATAAAAATTTTACAAAATAAGTACCAATGCAGAACATAAACAGCATGTGAACATTTTAACAATGAATAGATGACATTTATGTCTACATGCTGTTTAAAGCAACAATGTTCATATACATAGTGCCTTTTACCTGGAAGCTTTAAACGCCTTCAATTTTTCTGAAGTCTAAGACTGATTTAGATATAAATAAGAAAATTTACCATTACAAAAAAAGCAAGTGCCTTGTGTTTAAATGCTGTCCTTACCCATTTATCAGAACTATGCACTAGAATCCTTAAAAGTAATGCAACTGCTAAAGGAAAAAGCACTACTTCCATGTACAACACACTCAAACAAAATTACACAACAATTTAAGAAAGGAACAGAAAAATATTATAGTAAACAAACAAAATGCAATGTATTGTAAGTAAAAATTAAAAAAAATCAGGAAATGTTATCATATTAAAAAAAAAATCATCACCACGATTTTCAATTATAGGAAATACTCTACCAATTTCAGATTAAGCCTTTGTATGCAAGTACATGAAAACAGCTCAATCACAGGGAAAAAAAAAATAATCTCTGTATACACACACAATTCTGAAGACAAGGACTTAAAGTTTTCCTTACTGGGCTATTTTACTCTTTATATAGAGAACTAATGCACAGTTTAACAGCAGATTTGCTGCTAGCAAAAAAGTGATGTATTTCATAAACATTTTAGGTTTTGTAAACTAACATGCATTTTTAAAAGCAATAGTTAATGTAACTTTACTTAAAGCTTCTTGTTAAGAAGACAATTTCCATAATTCTCAAGTGTGAGACGTATCCTGAACTCTCTATAAGTTTAGTTTGTTCCAGTAATCTGTTTTGATGAACAGACAACATTGGATCATTTTCTAAGACGTAGAGAGTTAACGGCAAAATAGTAAAAGTGCTGGAAAAATAGGTAATTATAATGTATGAATGTAAACAGGACTTGTGTTTGTCTCATCTTGTTGACGTAACAATCCAGCATAAGACGATTCTCCAGCAGAGATACATTCTCCATGTATCATTTCCAATTTCATAATTCTCCAAAAATAAATGTATCCCATGATTACAGTAGGCATTTTCCATGCATTTCAAGACTTAAGGAATATGTATTAAAAATCCTGACTGATCTTTTCACTGGCTGTCAGCAAAACGTATGCTTTCTTTTAAAGTCAGGTCCTCAGTACATAAGAGCCCTTCTTTATGCAAGATGAGGTTGAAGGGATGGTGTAAGTATAAGGAAAAAATAAACAATGTATTACACAAACCATTTAGTGTCAGCTACCAGGCCTCAGCTTGGTGGAATTTCTTTCTCTCTTTCTTTCTCTCTTTCTTTCTTAAAAAAACCCCCAAACAAAATCAATTTTGAGGTAAGTCCTCCATGGTGTCAACTGATATAGTTTAAGTAGAAACAACGGAGCTATACAGGTGTACACCAAGGAAGCTGCCCAGCACTCCGGTGATTCAACCACTCTCTGCAAAGTCATCATCTTCCAGCACTCGCTCACATTAGTTGGTGATAAATCACCATGAGAAAAAGCATTATATTTATATATATATATATGGTTGTATATGTGTAAAGCTTTTAAATAGGTACATGGAACTCAAATTTAAAACTGACATGACATCAAACATTTCACAGTGTTTTAAGATGAATGTATTTCATTCTACTTTTATCATTAAAAAAAAAAATCATACAGAGAAGCGGAAATCACTTGACTTTGAAAAACTATCAATAAGATAAAAAAATGACCTTACAGATTACAGGCCACTTCCCTGTCCGCATTCTTCTAAACTTTTAAATGTCAAGAGACTTATAAAGATCTTGTACGGCTACTAAAGCCATGTGAAAACACGGGTACACTCTCATTATGTGTAAAGTAATTGTAATTTTTTTTGTCTTTAAATATTTCAAAGGCTTTCCAATTTTAAGCTGAAATCTCCACCCTAAACTGCTCACCATGGTCTTCCAAACAACATGGTTGTGAAATAGGTAATGCATCCAGTAAGTTGCTAAAATTCATCAAGAAAGTGTCCATCTTACTACATGAGCATACGATTAAAAATACATTGTAATCCAAGTAGAAATTATCTGTAGAGCCTTGATTTTATTAAATGCTTCAAATTTGCAAACAGTGATCTACCTATGTTCTTTTAACACATACATTTTTCATGTATTTTGCTCTGCTAGGAAAAAGAGGTAATGATGGTGGGGGGAGACAAGGTGCAGCACGGTTTAAAACTACTTTTCACAAATCACAACACATGAATGAAATCGATTGAGCTACATTTCCTGGCAGTAACAGAAGGCTCTTATCCTAGAGAGGATGTGGACAGCATAGCATGTGATGGGATTTCTTTGGTGGCTCATCACCTCAAATGATGAGGAAAGTATTGCCCACAAATCATATACCAAAAGGGAGAGGTAGACCCAAGCTTTCTGACATTTTTACTACTGAATCTGCTGCTACTGCTGCATAAGCTTGATTTAAACAAGTATTAGAAATACTAGTATTGTAGCAGGCTTTCCAATTTTTCCTGACAGATTAAAATGGCCATTCCTAACAGTTCATATTTCAGTAAAAGATAAAAAGATTTCATGTTAAGAAAAAAAACCACTTCTGTCAACCATTAAAGGTTTCAGAACAATGAAGATTTGAGAGTTTCTACCAAAGAAAATTTGCAAAAGTGTCCTGTCAGAGAAAGAACTAGGGAAATTAAAGACATGGGACATGGTAGCTGCATATTTCTAAGTATGAGAGCTAGTCATGAGCTACATTAGCACTCAGAGAAACAAGATTTTTTTACTATTACTAGCAACAGCCAGGGTGAAACAAAGCTTTCCTGCTTTACCCTTAAAATACTTCTAGTTTTACTCATAAAAATGTTAAATTATTAAAAAATTGGATACTATGACAATTGATTTCTAAATAGATTACTCACAATACATGAACAGCTCTAATGAATAATTTGTGCAAAACAGATTTCCGATTTCTCAGATTGCAACAAAAAACAAAGACTCATTATGGCAGAAAAAAAGGTTCTCAAGAAAGTTGACATAATTTAGAAAATGTTAGAAAGAACTAGACATCTTTATTCAATATTCTAGTAATTGATATTGCACTTCATAACATAAAGCTTACTTAAACATGATCTTTTCCCTGCTGTGCTTGCACCTCCTGAACATAAATTGCCTCCTCGATGGACCAGCTCAAGTTCCAAGTTTGTTCTGCAAGAAAAACACAACAACGTTGAAAAGAACAGCATTATTCAAGCTTCTAGGGACATGAGTCACCATAAACTCCAAGTATACACTAAATAAAAGTATGCTGTAAACTAATCTTTAGTGTGAGATATTGGCAAAATATGACTCGAATAAAACAAATTTTATCAAGATATTACCATATGTGATTTTAAGGGCTTTGATTAGCAAGTACTATATGAAGAGAGCTGCTGCAATTGTGATTGAAGAATAAAAAAAAAAGTTAATTCCAAGGCTTTTTTCTGTATGTACACACAACTCCTTGATAATAAGGAAATTCATCTGCAAATCTGAAAAGGCAATATATACCGATTGGCTAAATTTCAATCCATCAGATATATCTAAAAAGTGTTCTCTTTAATGGCAGGGCTTTTGTTTTGCTTTAAAGAAATGGACAGTACAACAGATATACCATCAAGTAACTAAGTATGAAAAGAGTCTAAATTATAATGGAAGCACTGACCTTTATAGATAAGTTAGTTAATAAAAGCCTTGGAGGTTAATTCTGAATGAAACACTGGTATTCATCACAGCTCATTAGTATGAAACAGCAGTTGTGTCACCAAATCTCTGCATGTCACATTGATGCGTGCTTTCTTAGTATTATTGTAATCTGATACTTAGACACCAATTGTTTAGGCCAAATTTGATAGCTTTGTTTAATTTTGTAATTGTATGTTTCAATACTGCATTATCTTTTATCCCCAAGACTTGGAGCAAACAATTTATATTATGTTCTCTGAGTTTCTGTTTCAGTAAGTCAACATACATTCCTTTAATTAAAATAAGGGAATACAATTCTATTATTCTGAAATATTATTTTGCTAATTTAATCCAAACTGCTAAAATCAGTCCAAACATTTTTTGCCCTTCAACTAAAAATCAAACAATTTTAGGTTCAATATAATGCACCTGAATACATATTAAAATCTATTCTAGAATTTTAAGCACATTATATATCTAAGCTAAGAACACACCCACACACACATATATATTTAAGAAGAAACTACAGGATGCCTACTTTATTCAAAACAAATTATTTTTTTAAGAATTTGAGCTCCATCAGCTTGAAAGAATAGTACATTTCTGATATGCAGCATTTGTTAAGATAGCTTCATATGTTTTTAAAATAGTAACATTTAAGAATATTACTATCCCTAAATTTGCAGCTTATGCCACTCATTTCTGAAGGAATGCTTTAATCCTCTCTACTCAGAAAAGGCAATTTAACATTGATAATGTGCCTGCTCAGAGCTCCATCTGGTTGCTGCTGATAAGGGCATCCATGTGACAGGGGAATTTTCCACTCTTCAGGCGATTTGCAGCGTTCACTGAACTTCTAAAAAAACTACAGCAAGGAAGCAGGGACAGGGATTTCGTATTAGTGGACAAAACAGTAACTGTAGGTCAGCATGTGCTAGTTCATCATGGGAATATAAAGGAAACCAGTATGTTTTACTTCTAGAAACCTTATGATAACTAATTTGTATAACAAAATTAATGGCAGCCTTCCATTAAAACAAAGCTAATTAAGATTTAAATCACAAACACTACATGAATGTCTAAGAACAACTTTCTAAATCTAGAATTTTAAATTTCCCTTTCACCAAGAAGGAGGTACAATTTTACAAAAAAACTTTTGGGACAATTCTGAAAAAAACTCTTCTTATGTATGAGGTGTCATATAGTACTTTTTGCTATAAGGAATGTAAGCAGAGAGATTTCTGTAAACATATACTCTGTCACATATATCATACCAACTCTCATCTCCCACACTTCTTCATTGGCCTCAGCTCCTCAAAGACAGCAGCTTATAGTTCAGGTTTCTTGCAAACATAAATATTAGCCTTTTCCTCTAAGACATCTCTTTCAAAACATACCTAAACTTTGTCATAAAAATGCACGGTAGAGAAAGCATCTGTGAAACTGAAGACTTCTCCTTTATAAAGATGTTCTACATCTTGTACAGCCCTAAACCATTTCTGAAAGAGACTAGGGTATCTCCTCCGTAATTCACGCTCCCTTCTATTCAAGATCTGAATACCATCTGCCCGCTACTGAAGAAAAGCGGAGCTCTCAGTGCCTATTCTCTCAACAGTGAAGGAAAACTTGGGGCATCTAACAGAAGAGGGGAACACAGAGTGGTCTCTAAAAGCATCCTTTGCTATCTCAGCCCTTTTATCATGAAAGAGAAGGAGAAAGAAAATCTATGTGAGTGACAATTTCCTCTATCTAAAAATCTTTGTGTCATTCATTGGAGCAACAAATTCTTGTAGAACACTGGCTTTATCTTCTTCATGCACAGAAAAAAAACCTGAGATGGATTTTGCTCAGCTGTACAGACTCCTGATTAAAAACCAGCCCCACTTCATCCCTTCCTCGGAGCTTTCATTAAAGCTCATATTGGGAGTGGGGTGGGGAGAATGAAGACTTATCAGAATTCATACCAGGACAGAGTAGGGGAAGTAAAAACGCAACACCCTTTCCAGAAAGAGAACATACTTGGATGGATCTCCTCTTCCTGTTGGGACAGGAGAATCAAGTTAAGTACTATCATTTTTCCACTTAATAGTACGAACACAACATCTATACTATAAAACCTGAGACACAGACTGGAAGGAAAGGCCACAAGGTTCTCTTAGCTGAGAGCAAAACCAAAACCTTTGTTTACACAGCCAACAAAAGCATGAGACCTATTGCTATGCGATACAGAAACAGTCTTCCAAGATAACTGCCACAAATGAGAGTCATCAATGCTATGAATGTGGAGCTATTAAAATTAAAGCCAGGCACACGATTTGTGAATCACACACTGTACTAATCTCATAAATGTCAGCACAGACAAGGAGGGCTGCATATGAAAAAGGCATAAACTTAACAAGGTA